ATAATTTTCTCTAAATCTATCAAAGTTTTTTTTTAATAAAATGTAAAACTGTCGAAAATTATACATTTTAGTTGTCATTTTGTGATTCTGTATTATTTTGTCAAAAACTTCTAAATGTAGTAAAATTTCTTTGTGAAAAGCGCCAAATTTAGAAAAATATACGAAAACTAAGCAATTTTTGAGAATTTTTTAATTATTTTGCCCAGATTTGTAGCCTTTATTGAAATGTTGCAAAACAGTCTAAAATAACTGGTTTTGTCATTTTTGCGCATTTAGTCGTAATAATTTGCTGTTGACGTCTACAAATTGTCAAATGAGATTAATTTTATTATCAATTTGTTTTTTATCACTACATGTCAATCAATTATTATTTATTAGTTGAATCGTCATTACAGATCGTTATCAATAATTATTCCAAATATGAAAAATTTTTGAGTAAAACTTCACGTTTTTGCGCACTTCTCACCCCAATTAACCAATCCAATTGCCATTACCCGAAATTTCGCTGAATCTTCTCGTGCAATGAAAAAAAATTCAAAGATTGGCGTAAAACATGTAATAGAGAGATAAATAAATAATGTGGATATTTTATGACAGGTTTGCAAGTCCCTCACTGCGCAGGTTTCTGCGCTTTGGGTGAACGCCTAACAGTGCCATAAAATAGGACAGGGGTGATAACTTGGTTGCCTGGACCGAGCTCATGCTCCCGAATTTTTTCGGTAATAATAATAATATTAGCTAAATTAGTGCCTGCGCCGCCTCTTTTAATCAAAACCACTACAATAATCAAAATCAGTTCAATAAAAAACGTGGGCTCCGATGGAAATGTGATGGTGAGTTTATTTTTAGATCAATGTGAGTGCGAGTTTTTTAATTATTTCTCTGACTTGGAATTCGAGATACAAATGATTTGTTTGGATTGGGAGTGATTGTAGGACAAGCCCGTCGGTTTAGCCCTTGAAAGGGCTCGCCTAATGAAGGGTGGTGGGTTTATAGGACGTTTCCTGTGAGTTTTTGTGGTTTCGAGAAAAATTCGGGTTTGTTTATGTTGAGCTGTTTGAGTATTTTTAGACATTGTTTCTGTGGGATTTTAATGAGGAACTCAATTAGGTATGAATGGGGACAAAATTTATGCAAACACGCGAATTTTTTTCATAGTTTAAGAATGAATCATTCAAGTGGGTAGTATTGTTGTAGAGTGAAAAAACCTCCCCCAGTTTTGACATTTAATAAAGCCAAAATTCATGTTTTAACATTTATAGCCCAATATTAAATGTCACGTCTAATAAATATGAATTTTATTGGATACTTTTTGTCCAATCGATATGTAGTAGGAAGATGTAAAATATTTAATGAAAAAAGATTGTTACCAAATTGGTTTCTTGATATTTAGTTCAAGTTGAAATTTGAACACCGAATTAACACTTTTTAGAAAAAACAATTCGAATTTTGTTTCCACAATGGAAAAAAGCATGTAAATCTTACTAATTCAGTGAGTTTTTCATTAAAAAAACGTTTTAAATGTAACATAACAAGTGAAAATAGTGCACTTTAGGCCCAATTTCGTGATTTTTAGTTTTGTTTTGGCAAAATTTTGCTGACATTCTCAGTGAAAAGCGCTCAAACAGGCGAAAATTATGCATTTTAGACCCAGTTGTGTGATTTTTTGTATTATTTAGACCAAATCTATCAAAGTTAGGGAGCTTTTTTTAAAAAATAAATGCCGAAAATAGTACATTTTAGACCTAATTGTGGGATTTTGTGTATTATTTTGCCCAATATCTTTTAATAAAATTTTTGGTGAAAAAGTCTAGAGCAATAAATATAAAGCAGTTTTGACAATATTTTAGAATTTCTGTATTATTTTGTCTAAATCCGTAGAATTCATTGTGTATCTTGCTAAAAAACGCTCTAAAAACAAGTATCAAAAGCTTTGGTTTTGAAACCAATTTAGCGATTTTCAGTCTTGTTTTGAAAAATTTTAATAATTATTTTCGTAAAAAAACGCCTAAAAGCCATTAAAACAAACAAAAATTATGCATTTTTAACTGAGTTTTGAGATTTTCTGTAGTATTTGGAAAAACTATCAAGGTTAAGGCGATTTTTTTGGAAACAAATTTGCTTTGTATTTCTAAAAACTGGCGAAAATCGTGTTATTTTGTCCAAAAACTTATAATTTTAATAAACTTCGTAGTGAAAAACGCTTGAAATTGACGAAAATAAAGCAATTTTTACAATATTTTAAGAATTTTTTTTTATTGTTCCCAGATTTGTAGAATTTAGTGCGTCTTTTGTTAAAAAAAATCTCTAAATTGAAGGAAATACGCAACAATAAAAGGTTTTTTTTGTAAAAAATACCCAAAAGGGAGAGGCTAAAATGATGTATTTTTGCGATTTTGTGAGTTATTTTAACAGAATCTATCAAACTAATATAAAAAACCGCTTTAAACGTAAAAAAATTGACAAAAATAGAGCAATTATGAAACCTAATTTTGCGATTTTGTCTTTTTTGGCAAAATACTTAATTTAAAAAAATCGATAAAAAACGTAAAAATAATGGAATTGTAACCAAATTGTAGTTTCTTTTGCAATATCTTGGCCAAATCTTCTGATTTGAGTAAATTTCTCAGTAAAAAGTACTAAATTAAAATTTTAAAATTAAAAAGTTAATTTTAAAATTAAATTTTAATCAAATCTTTTGATTTTATTTAATAAGTGGAAAACGCTTTAAGGCTGGAGAAACACAAGAAATTTTCCATCTAATCTGTCTTGTTGCATTATCCACCAGTAGTTATAATTTTTCGTTGAAAAACGTAAGAGAAAGAAAGAAAGAAAAATTGATAAAAATAGTCCAAGAACACTTAAATCGTGAAAAACTGACTGTGTCGCATTTTAGACCTATTTTTGCGATTTTCTGTCTTGTTTTGGCTATTCTTCAAGTTGTTCGGTGAAAAACGCTCTTAAATCTAGAGAAACCGAGAAAAGCAGTTTGGACAAATTTTGTGATTTTTGATATCATTATAAAAGAAAGAAAAAAAAAACTTTTTTGAAAAAACTTTTTCTAAATGACTAATTCTTAAAAATTTTAAGGCTATTTTATAAAAAAAAACATGATAGTTAAAAAAAAATGTCAAGTGAAAGCTAGTGATTCATCATCTTACTTCGATTTTTCTTGGATCTTTTTTATGATCAAAAATTTCACTTTTTTGCAAAAAGAAAAAACAAACAATCTAACTCTAAATTTAGGTAAATTCTGCTACTGCACCAAAAACTATACTTAAACTCGGTCTTATTTCTTTCAATGTGCCACAATTTAAATTTTTTGTTTTATTGTGATGCAGCCAAAGCGTAGCAAAGCCTGTAGCAATCATATAAATTGAGGTAGCGGTCGATAAAATACAAGGTACGAGGTGAAACTTCTATTCAAAGGTGCAATAACATCGATAACTTTATTTATGTGCACATCTTTACATTTTTTTTTTCATTACACCATTACTCACGACCGATAAAAGCAAGCACTAATATCCAAATTGGCACGATTTTAATTTAATAAAATTTGAGTCCATTTTCTATTTCTTAGTTTACCAATCATTCTAAGTGAGACGCATGACGCAACACCCAAAGGAACTTCGCTGTTTTTCAGCCAATAAATTATTTTTCAGGAACCCAAGCACTGAAAATTATTATGAGTGAGCTTCAATCGACTATAGAATTCTCCGTGGAACTGTACAAATTCTACAATGTCGATTTATTTCAGCGAGGGTGAGTCCAAATGCCAATTCAATTAAGTTGGCAACTTAAAGTAGAAAGTTTCAAATTCTCGTCAGCGAGGAGAGTGTCAAAATGCCAATTCATTTAAATTGGCAACTTTAAAGCTCAACGTTGCCAACTTAAAATTAAGTTGGCAATACAACGTTGCCAACTTAATTTTTATTTTTTGTCAGAATGTACCAAGTGCGTTGTTCTCTGCGCGTTTCATCGAAACTGAGCGTCGAAGTGGAGGTTACCACCCCTGAAGTGAGTGCCGGTCTTGGTACTGCCATCGTCCTCGGCAACTACGGCGCCTGTCGTCCCTTCCAGATTCTCTACCGCAACGAAGAGGTGTCCTTGAAGGATGTGGTACTGTTCAGGTGCCACATGCTGGTCGACGGAAATAACCTGAAGGAGTCGCTGGAGAGAGCCGAATTCTCGTTGGTTCTCGAGCTTTGGTTCAGTGATAGTTCACCGGTGTCGATGGTGATGGTCTCGTCGAGGACTCTTCAATTGAATATGTCGCCGGCGGAGGGACTGCACTACCATTTGCCTGTCCTCTTCGATTATTTTCATCTCTCGGCCATTTCGTTGACGATCCATGCCGTACTCACGGCCCTGCACCAGCCCTCGATGAAGTGAGTGGAATTCCAATTCAAAAAAAATCCAAAGAGATTCTAGTAATTCCAAAAAATTCCACAGAAATTTCAACTTAATTCTAAAATAATTTCTTTAATTTCGAAAGTTCTAAGAAATTCAACGTCATTTCGGAAAAAAACATCTCCGATCCTAAAAGCAATTTCAGAAATATTCTACCGAAATTTTCCGGTAATTCCAATAATTCATTGTAATTCCATTGTTTTCAGTTTAGTTCCTATAAGTCCAAAATAATTTTTAGAATTTCAACTAATTTCAAACGCAAATTTTTCACATTACTTACTCATGATTTTTAATCTTTTTTCTTATCAAAACTTAACTAAAAAAATTTAATTTAAAAAATTCAAATTTTGTATTTTTTAAGTGAGTCAAATTTGGCATCAAAACTATGAACGTTTAAATTTTAATTGTTTTTATTATTTTTGATGACAAAAGCGTACTAAAAAATACTGAAAAAATCTACTATAAAACATTAGCACACTGTATAATTTTTGGTAACCAGACAAAATTTGGGTTTTTTTATTACAAAAAAATAACAATAAAAATATCATTAACATAATTTTGATGATTTAAATGGAAGAAAGGCCAAGGTCAAGCCAAAGTGTGTTTGAATTTTTTAGTTTTTATTACGTAATGTTTTTATAGTTGTTGAAAAGTTGTCCATGAAAACGAACTATTATTATTATATAGTGATTTTAAAAAAAGAAAAAGATAGAACACAAAAAAAAACAGTATTTACTTAATTCAAAACTGAAAAAATTGCACCTAAAAAATGTAGATATTTTGTTGCTGACGAGAAGTTTTGTAAGGAGGAAAAAACATAATGAAAAAGATTCGAAATAATTAAGAAATAAACAGCAAATGAAATATTTTGATAATTTGGTGTGATTTTTGATAAAAACAGGCAAAAATAACTGGTTTTATAACCAATGTAGCAATGTTCTATTTTGTTTCGGAGACATTTTAACAATTTTCTTCGTAAAAAACGCCCAAAATCTAAAGAAAATGGATTTTAACGATTTTGTGAGTTATTTTAAGAAATTCTATCAAAATGAACGTTTTCATTGTAAAAATCCATTTTAAATGTATGAAAACTATCGAAAATAGAGCAATTAGACCTAATTTTGCGATTTTCTGTGTTGTTTTGGCGAAATACTTCAGTTTCTCTGGAAAAAAAACGCTCTTAAGCTAGAGAAAAAACTAAAAATAATGGAATTGTGACCAAATTTTGATTTTTTTGCAACATCTTCGCCAACTTTTTCGATTTTAATAAGTTTCGCGGTGAAATGTGCATTAAATATAGATGAAAAACAAATGAATTAAAAAATTAAAATTTTTGTCTGGAAAACCTCTTAAATCTAGAGAAATAAAAATTAAGCACTTTTGAGAAAAATTGGTAAAAATAGCTTTAAATCTAGAAAAACGAGCGTAAGCATCGCATTTCAGACCTGATTTGTCGATTTTCAGGCCTAGAGGAAAGGCGAAAGTCAAGCGGAATTGCGTTTTTTAGTTTTTTATATTCAGTAATTTTAAAAAATAAAAAAAGGAAACAAACAAAAAACAATTTTTTCATTGCACATAAAAAGTAGATATTTTTATTAGAGAAGAAAATTTTTGTAACAAGAAAAACAAAATGAAAACAGAAAAGAAATAAACGGGAAAAAATTGCTTATTTCCTTGGAGAAAGAACATGTTTTGCCCCCAATTTTGCAAAAGAAGAAAATAAAATGTGTTTAATTTTCTAATTTTAAATTAAAAATGAGAAAAATTTAATCAAAAAATTACCCGCCACTGAATTAGTTTGAATTTTCTGTTTTGTTACCATGACGATTTGTAGCTTGTTGTCATAGTTACACACAAATGTCAGTACGTTTCTATAGCAACTACACGAACTAACTGACATAGGCGGCTCGTTACTGTTGCAAAAGGGGGTTTTCAAGTAAAATTTCAAGATTGAATTGATTTTTATTAAAAAATTAACAAAGTGATCATCGTTTTAGACGAGGCATCCTGCGCTACATGCAGAGCTGTGCCCCGAAATCGTCAAAATCCTGGAGTAAAATTCGTTCGGCACATTGTTCTTCATTAACGGATCCCGTCCTTCCAGTGAGTAGTCATAAGATTTATAGCAAAATTAACGAATCTCCACAAATACATTTAGAAGCACGTGATGTTCTATTAGATGCTAGCAATAACCTTAAAACAACTATTAAAGAATATAAGATATTATTTATGCAGAGAGAAGAAACTTTATCTGATAATTACGATACTTTAATACTGAAACCTCATCACAGATACGACACGAGAAAAGTGAGTCGCAATTGTCGCAATTTCTCACTTCTTAACCAAAATTTCCAGTCATCCAGTTCGTGTCTCGCCGAACTGTGCGCTGATAATATAAGACTGTGGAATTATTTCCTCTTGAACTTCAGTTGTAAAACAACAATCCAGCAACATTTGAGCAAAAAACATCACCAATTTCGGGTGCGGCGCTTCTCCGAGTTGTTTTTCCTCGTTTACAACCCTCGCCGGTCGGCGATTGGCTGTTTCGACACCAATTACCAGAATTACCTCTTGGTCGCCGAAATCGCCAAAAGGTCCAAATACATGCAATTACTGCCCCCACTTCCGGTCCATTGCGCCGCCCTTGACGGCGATAACACGACCATGCCCATCATCTTCGAAGACCAGTACCAAGACCCCTTCGACGATTTAGTGCCAAAGAAAGACAAGCACTGTTCCTGCGGGATGGAGTGGAAATGCTCGGAGAAGACCCTAGTCAATGATGATGTTTTTTACGAAGATTCGCATTCGAAGCCCACTAGACATAGCAAATCCTTAGATCAACTACAAATGTGTTCACGAAATAAGTTAAATTTTTTCGACGAATCAAAACTGAAAAACGTAGCGAGTGAGCATAACATGAAGCGACTTTACATCTACGACAAAGTCTGCAATTGTTCGCAAAAACTTGACTCGTCCATAGATTTAATAGATGTCGATATTTTAGATAAAAAATACAAACAGTTTAACATCGAGAGCACGCAAAACTTCTTCCGGTCAAACTCCATGCAGTTTTTCTCGCCAAGGAAAAAACCCAAACCGCGACGTCAAAGTACAAAAAAATACAATCAAAAACACTTCGATTTGGGCTCGAGTAGCAGCTCGGAGAGTCTTAGTGGTGGTAATCTTGGGGTTAGGAAAGTCCGGAGTACTTCGTGTTTGGGCCAAAGAACCACCCCTTTGGTACTCTCCGGGACGGAATCCTTGCCCAATATCAAGCCAGCCGTGGAGAGGCAATACCCCGGAGTGAAGTACTACAGTTCTTCATCGTCGACGACGAGCGAGCAAAGCGGGTGGATCACCTCGAGGAGCAGTTCAGTGGCGTCGAGCACAGATATAGGCAATGCGGTGGTAACAGGACTCTTGACCAACATTGAAAGCATCCAACGGAAGATTTTGAATCTTCCGAGGAAGAAAAATGGAAACTACAGGAAAAACAAAGGTGGGGTTCCCATAGAGGAAAATTAAAGTCAAGATGGCTGTTCCAGGCTGTGAATTTAATCAAAGTTTCTGCGACGAAATCGCTCTACCTCCCCCGAAACAATTCCGGGATTTGGACTCACCCTCGAGTTCCATCACGAATGGAACCAATGAGGAGGAGATAAATGCCGTTGATAACATTCTCTACCACGTGGTGGACACCCAAACCACACTGGAGAGAAAACCGGAGGAGGGTAAGTTACCCGCCACTGGTTTTAACTTGTTGTCGCCATGGTAACGTACATATTTGTGTGTCGTTTCCATAGCAACAATACGAATCTGCTGACATGAGCGACTCGTCAAGGTTGGGAAAAGGGTTCATTTTTTAGGATACCATCAGTTTTACAAAGGCTCCAAGTCCGAGTCGGAGAAGGCGTTTGTTCGCGCCAAAAACGAGTTCAAAAGTCAATTAAACTTCCCCGGAATCCTGTATTCTGATTTCACGTCGTTCGCTTCGACGATTCCCTATTTTCATATAAGCGACGAATTTCGTATTTTTTCGCCTGAAGGAATGCATTTGATTGTGTGCGTGCACGGCCTTGATGGAAATTCGGCCGATTTGCGACTAGTCAAGACGTATCTAGAGCTTGGACTTCCTGGGGCTTACCTCGACTTCCTTATGTCCGAGCGAAATCAAGGAGATACTTTTAGCGATTTTGATACCATGACCGATAGGTATGTTTGTACTGCAAGGTATACAGGGTGATTCTTTTAGAGCCTACATTGAAAACTTTTTAACTTCTAACGCAGATAGAAATCATAACTAAATTATTTTCAAAATAAACTTCCGGAACTACGAGAAATTGGTGCCAACTTTGAAATTTTAAATCGCAAAGGGTTCAAGAGCTGTGATGTTTTGAAAGAACCCCTGTAAATGAAAATTTTGACTAAAAAATTGACATATGTTAAAAACTATGACAGATACCTACTAACAACTAGGTACATTTTACTCAGTTTGGAGAAAAAAAATAAAAAAATGCAATAAAAATAAGTGGATACCATTTGAAATTTTAAAGTTGGCGCCAATTTCTCGTAGTTCCGGAAGTTAAGCCATTTTAAAAATAATTTAATTGAACTTAGACTGGTCGGTTTGGGTTGTGTACAAACTTTCAAATTCCTCTCTGCATTAGAAGATAAAAAGTTTCTAATGTAGGCCCTAAAAGAATCACCCCGTATAGTATAATACATATAATTTTTCCTACGAACCATCAAAAAAACTAACCATATCTCTTGATATCCCGTATGCACCATCGCCATTAAATCTAGCAACATGTTTTCCCGTTTCTTTGGGATGTTATACAGGGTGATTTTTAAAAAACGGCAAGCGCTGTAAATTTTTATTTTAAAAATTAAAAAAAATTAAACTGACAATTTTAGAATTGTTATGAATGTCATAGTATATTATGGGCTGTAATCAACTTTTTTATTTTAAACTGGAATTTGGAAAGAATTAGTCTTCTTGGTACAGACATGTACAATCTTTTCTATTTTTATTAAAAATTATTGTCTAAAAAAATTATCAAAGTTGAAAAAAAATTAATAAAAGTTAATAAAATCTAGTTGCTTAGTGTCAAATAAGACAATGCCATTATTGTAATATCCACAAATGAAAGAGAATATTGCTAATATTTTTTCAAATTAAAAAAAATATTAACAATTTTTTTAAGCGATGTTTTAAACAATAATTTTTAGTAAAAGTATAACATAATTGTATACAGGGTGATTCTTAAATAGACCGACAAAATTTTATTACAGCTTCCCAACGACAAATGGAGGCAAACTGTACGATCTTTACGTTTATATCTTTTAGGGGCAAAACCCCCTTGATCCGTGTCAGTTACGGCGTTTATGAATTGTTGCAATAATCAAGTACATTTTTATCAAATTAATACCATGGTTTCCACTACCTGTGCTAATACTATTTACGAACACATCAGTGGCGTACGCTTTACTTCGAAAATCACTTTAATAAATTTTATTTGGAGAACGATTAAACAAAGAACTTTTTAAATATTTTTTTCCAGGATGTTCTCATTTGATACTACCAAGGATAAAATTTTGTCGGTCTATTTAAGAATCACCCTGTATGTATGTACTAAGAAAACTAACATCTTCCCAATTATAAAAAAATATATGGGTCCCTATTTAAAATTAGAAACTTGAATATAGCCCAAAATATACTACGACATTTAGAAAAATTCTAATTTCTTATTTTTTTTTAATTTCTGAAATCGAGCATAAATAAAAATTCTACAGCGCCTACCGTTTTTTAAAATTATCCTGTATAAAATTTTTAGCTCCCTAGGCGGTCCCTTTTTTTATTGAAACTTGCAGTTGAAATTAGAGTGGAAAAACTTACTTTCTATTAGGGTCGTAGGAAATAGTATATCATTCAACGAGCGAGAAAGTTGAACATTTCCACGAAGATGAAATTTACGATACGAGCTGACAGCGAGTAGAGTAATTCATTGAATAGAAATGGCCATTTCTCACGAGTTTAGTACTACACTTTTTCTATTTTTAAATAATTACATACATATTTTTATTGTAATTTTGACGACTGCGGGAGGTAATTGGCCACTTTCCTTTCTGGAATTAGAGTCGTAGAAAAAATATTTATGTAAAAAAATAAAAAATGATTTTTTAGATTGGTCAGCGAGATTCTTCATTACTTAGACACAAGTAGCATTCGGCCTACGAGAATAAGCTTCGTGGGTCACTCCTTAGGTAACGTTATAATTCGATCTGCCTTAACGCGGCCCCAGATGAAATTTCTACTCCCAAGACTGCACACTTTCTTATCACTCTCTGGACCACATCTGGGCACTTTGTACAACAGTAGCGGATTAGTTAACATGGGTAAAACCCATCAGAAACCCAACCATGTCACCCATTCTCCCAATTCCAGGCATGTGGTTTATGCAGAAATGGAAAAAATCGGGTTCGCTCCTTCAACTCTGCTTGAAGGACTCCAACGACGCTCGCCAGTCATTTTTGTACAGATTGAGTCAAAAAAGCACTTTACATCACTTTAAAAACGTGCTACTTTGCGGTTCGGGACAAGACAGGTGCGACAAATTCAAATTTTCGCGCCAAGTTTTTTCCAACCTCACTTTTTTAGATACGTTCCGTTGCACTCGGCCCGCATCGAGCTGTGCAAAGAATCGATCAAAGACACTTCCGATCAGGGCGCCATCTATCGAGAAATGGTCCACAACATAATCTCCCCGATAATTGCTCAGAAAGAGGTGAACCTCGTACGTTACGACATTCATCATGCCTTACCAAACACGGCGAATGCTTTAATTGGTCGAGCGGCACATATTGCTGTTTTGGATTCGGAACTTTTTATTGAAAAATTCATGGCTGTAGTTGGAATCAAATATTTCCGTTGAACTATTCTATTTATTAAATATAGAAGTTTTACAAAATAAATTAAAATACATTTTAGTCCTAAGTAATTTTATACCTTCACTAGAACGAAATTTTCACAAATGAGTAGATTTTAATGACACGTACTTTTTTTGACATTATTATTATTATTATTATTGAACACTTTGGTCACCTGCTTGAATTGGTGCGTGGATCGCATCTTTGACGACTCAACACCCCATTTAACTCACTCGGACCCGAATCCTAGAAAAAATCAAGTATGAAACTCAAGCGGAAAGTTTTATACCAACACGCACAACGAAACTATGTCAAAAATAGTACAGAACTGATTTAAATGCGCTTCTGTATTGTGTTATCTAGGCACTCTTGTTCTACAGGGTGTTTGATATAAAACAAACTAGTCGGATTTGTCCCGTTTTAATACCCCTTTTATTTGATTCTTCATTTGTTCAAATCGGAAGTTATAGGTGGTGGCGTTTTTTATGACACACCCTGTAAATCAAATGGCACCAAAACGACACAATTTTTTCTTGACGTCTCCGCCCACTCTGTGACAATGACCCTTTCAGTGCCATTTTGGTGCCAATTTTGTTTTTTTTTTTAATTAGAGAACTCTTTCGTCTATTTTTTTAAAGTTTTTGATGCCGAAATCATACCTGACTATGGTATACGTTTTATAAAATGTTATTGAATTAATAAATGTTTACTAAAGTTTGCTTTTTATTTACATCAATGACTCAAAATGTATTACCCGCCACTGGTCTGAATTTTCGATTGTTGCTATGGCGTGAAACAGTTCGTTGCCATAGCAACCAGCGCATTTCTATGACAACTAGTGAATCTACACACATGGGCGACTCGTCAAGGACGTAAAAAAGGCTTTTCCAGTGTTTTTTTTACTTACATCTCCCGGTGAGCTTTCGCTGGACTCGGTGATGAGCAGTAGTTTGTTTTCCTCGGCTTCCACGTCGATGATTCCGCCCCGACTCTTCTGATAGATGAACAATTGTTTCATTTGTGCTTGCAACATTTGTAGTTCTTTGGTGACTTGAAAATTTTGAGCTTTTTCGAGTTCTCTCGGTGGAAGAGCATTCTTCAGTTCTTGGACATCACAGCTGATTGGTTCGCGACAAACAGGACACGAGGCTTGAAATCCCGTCGTGCTTTTTTGCCAAGTTGGTAATTTTTCTTGTTCTTCAATGAAGTGTTTTTCGGTGGTTATTAAATGCATTGCAAGACAGTAGGAATGGAAGTAGTGGAAACATTGCGTTTTTGTGAAACTATCACCTTCGGAAAATCCGTACAAACACACAGCACAATGGCACGTCGGTAGATTACTCTCGGTGAGGTTCTCGCGTATTAATTCGATTAACTCGTAAATGACAGGTTGACCAACAAACTCGTTACATTTGTCCTTTATGGTTCGATACAAGTGATTTAGGGTCGTGTCGTCTAAACCTCGAGGGTTCCTCAATTGCACCAAAGGCTCACAATCGGGGTAATTATCGGGTAATTTGACTTCCAAAGTCACACAAACGTATTGTTTGTCCGTGTCGTCGGCAGTTGAGGGAAATATCGTCGATTTCACCAATTCGGGACACCCACTACGGGAAAAATCACAACTATTTTGGAGAAAATGAACCAAACTTACTTGTCCCCATATGAGATGGAAATGTCATCCATCAAAATTGCTTCCAACGCCTCGATTTCTTCCTGCACCCTGAAATTGTAACCTTAATCACACGTATTCTAGTTTAATGAGGCTTTACCTTTCATTTAACGACATTTTCGGGCCGAGATTAATCAATATTGGGACCAAAATTCAATTTCCCGTCACAGCTGTCAAATGTCACTGTCAAAACGCAGCGGCGTCGGCAAACTTATACATGACTTGTGATGCAAATAACGATTTTCAAATTCACAACTGTTATATTTGTAATAAATGACAGTATTTTAATAAAATGCCTAATTGTAATGGCAATGTTTGTTGATTTTATTTCGTTTAAATGAAAGAAATGAAAATTGTGGTTGTAAACCGCACGCTTCTGTCTCATGAGTGTTGCCAACTACGTGTCAAAACTGGTAAAAAAGCTTTTTTAAAAAATAAATCAAATTTGGAAACACAGAATCAGCTCAAATTTTTGTCCCAACTTGATTGAAGTACGTACACAAGTAGTGCCAATGGGCCACACAATTTTTTTGTGAAATGTGGGTTAGTGTTTGGCAACGCTGCGCCAAGGCCACTAGTGTCAAATTTGGCAAGTGTCAGTGTCACTGGCGGTATTTCTCGTATCTTTTTTTGATTTTTTCGTTCGACATGTCGAGTGGTGACAATAAAACTCTTTTAATTCCATCTCCTTTGATTACGAAACGAAACCGAACACCGTCAACGTAAGTCGGTCGATCATTAAAGTAAATATTTAAAAAATGCGTTTCAGGTGCGAGCGGATCCTGAAACACCAGAATTTATACGGGGAAATCAAGTCCTTCTGTAGGGAAAAGGGCCACGGGTTTATCACCCCCGAGGATGGAACTGAGGACATTTTCGTCCACATTTCAGAGTTGGTTCCGGGTTGAAAGTGGTTTGTTTATTTTTCGTGTTATTTTTAGCATTGAAGATGAGTACATTCCTATATCTGGCGACAGGGTCAAGTACCAACTGTGCCCAATTCCCCCAAAGTTCGAAAAGTACCAAGCGGTTCATGTGCACATTGTAAACCTGAAACCAGAAGTACACAAACGGTGGGAGAGTTACTAAACCAAATCTCGTATTACCAACATGCATTTATTTTAGTAAAATTTCAAACGTTTCCTGCCTTTTTACTTTACTCTTTACCCTACATTATATATTTTGAGAAAATAGTTGTTTACAAGGTCTTTGTATGTGACAAATATCAATAAAACTCATAATCAACCTCTTAAAACATTTTATTGTTCCTAAATTACAAAAATATAAAAACTTGGACGGATTATGTGAGTTCAAAGTGCATCATTTTTATGGCTAGTAATTAATAATACATAAAAAAGCTCTAAAATGTGTTCCAAATTGCTGCAAAAAGTGTTGTGACTGTTACCTGGCAACTAGACCTGTTGCTTAGCAACTAGACTTGTTGCCTGACAACCAGACACAACAGTCCGCCAGCAATCTGAAAACATACTAAACTGATAAAAAAGTGATTTTCAAGCATAGGACACTTTCTGTTCGTATGCTTTTTGCTGCCAGTCGGTGTCGTCGTCGAAGGCCACGTGTCGCGTCTTGCACAGTTTGGGGCCGTACCGCAGCATGACCATGATGACCCCGACTATGAGGAAGAGGGTTAAACAGGCTGTTGCGGGCCAATAAACGTGAAACATGTTTAAATATCGCTTTCGCGTTTTTGCAATTCGCGGTATTCGACTTTTTCGGTTTCGGGAGCTGGGGTTGGTACGTAAACGACTTGTGTGGGGGTGTCGATGACTTCCAATTCAGTTAGGTCTAGAGGGGGTTGTTGATGGGGGGTGGCTGTCCACAGAGAGGCGATCCAGCGGTTGCCTGAAGGAAAAAATGTTAAAATTGAAACAATAATAAATCAAAGGGCTCACTACCTGTGTGTCTGTCGTTCCAGTAGTCGGAATAGCGGGAACAGCAGCCCAGGACGATGTTCAAGATGAAAATTGAGACTCCAATAATCGTGCAGATCGTAACGGCGATGTAAAATGGGGTAAAATCGCCAAATTCAGCTTTCTTGAAATATGGGTTGTGTTTGTAAGCGTCTCTTTCCTCAAAAACGCTCGACATTGCAGTACATTTGAGGCGATTTTTCTTCTATCGGTCTAAATACAAAAATTAATTTGTGGGTGTGGTTGAGGAATTGTTGCGTTGGAAGGAATTAATTGAAGGAAATTGCAGTGTGAAAAAAAAAGTACTTAATACTTGAGCAAAAAATGAGATGTTTTACTCACTTGGAAATGAAATTAGGTTTGTTTTCTCGAGAATTTCACCTGAATTGAATGTTTACACGACGCACAGGTGGATGTATACACTATGATGTCATAACTGTAAACTCTTCTTGGGTGTTGAACTTGCGCACTATGCGTATTGTTGGTTGCCTATATAAAACTAAATTTAATTAAAAAAAATGTTTTTGGAAGAACTTGGGTAAGAATTTTAGGACTATCAAAATCCGTGTGTCAAAAACTATAAAATAAAACAAATTTGAAATAAATGTTTTTTTATAAGAGAAGGGACATGAAAATTTTGTTCTTTTTTGTTCATTTTCCTTTGTCAATTTTAACAATACTGTAAGTTAAAATTAAAACGTTTTAAACCATAAATGTGTAAAACAATTTGGTAAAATCGCTTGCGAAAATTGTTTAGTCCTAGTCCTAGATACGATTTTTTTAATTACGCAACTTTAAACCGGAAACAACTCTACCAAACGCAAATTTTGATTTTTTTATTTTTACTGTAAAATGTTTTTTTAGTTTTATATACTTTTTTCATTATTTTAGCATTAATTACAAAATTTTGTTTTGTTTGTTTTTGTTTTTTTTTCAGCTATTTTGAATGCATTTTGGCTTTTTGAATTTTTGTTTCTGATTATCTATTTTTTGTTAAAATACGCAATTTTTTTCGTAATTTTTAAATAATTAACTTGTTATATTTGAAGCTTTTTGTTAATTTTTGCACGTGTTTATTGTTTGTTACTTGGTTCATTTCCATACCAAAAAATAATACCTAATTGGAAGAAAGCTCTTATTTAAGCCATCATTTTGTTGAAATTCTTTGATTCAGGTTGATTTCTTGCTTGAAAATAAGCCAAATCGATTGAAAATAGCACAAATTACTTTATTTCAACTTAAAATTGGGATTGAAACAATTATTTTTATAAAATACATTACTTTCGAATTAATTCTGTATTAAAATCGAGCAAAATTCAATTGAAAATAGCTCAAAGCGCTTTATTTTAGCCTAAAATTGGAATTGAAGCAATTATTTTAATAAAAAGCATTAATTTTGAATTAATTCAATTAAAATCGAACAAAATTGGATTGAAAATAGCTCAAATTGTTTTATTTTGGAAGAAAACTTTTATTCAAAACATTAGTGTGTTGAAATATTTTGATTCAGATTAATTTCCGGCTTAAAATATAGCCAAACCGCTTGAAAATATTACAAATTGCTTTATTTCAGTCTAAAATTCGGATTGAAGAAATTATTTTTACAAAATACATTATTTTCGAATTAATTCTGTATTAAAATCGAGAAAAATTGAATTCAAATAACTCAAATTGTTTTATTTTGGAAGAAAACTTTTATTTAAGCCTCATTTTGTTGAAACACTTTGATTCAAGTTGATTTCCTGCTTAAAAATAAACCATATCGATTGGAAATGGCACAAATTATTTCATGTCAGCCGATTAAGAAATTATTTTTATAAAATACATTAATTTATAATGAATCCTGTATTAAAATCGAGCAAAATTGAATTAAAATTGCTCAAATTTCTTTGTTTTGGAAGAAAACTTTTATTCAAATCATTATTTTGTTGAAATTCAGGTTGATTCCCGGTACTAAAATAAACCCAAATCGCTTGAAAATATCACAAATTGCTTTATTTTAGCCTAAAATTAAGATTGAAGCAATTATACTAATAAAATANNNCGCTTGAAAATATCACAAATTGCTTTATTTTAGCCTAAAATTGGGATTGAAGCAATTATTTTTATAAAATACATTAATTTTGAATGAATTATGTATTAAAATCGAAATTGAAACATTTCATCAATCTAAATTTTTATTTTTGCAATTTTCACACAAAAAATAACTTTACTTTAGTATTTTCAAGGTTTTTTGCTAGATTTTCGCCAAGAGTAACTTTTATTACTTAATTGTAATTTTAATTATTTTCAAACTGAGAAAATTTGGAAAAGCGCTGAATTGTTTACGTTTTATTTTATTTTTCGATTTTCTTGTAATTTACATTATCTACAACGAGAAAAATTATTGCTTATATAAAACTAAATTTAATTGAAAAAAAAATGTTTTTGGAAAAACTTGGGTAAGAATTTTAGGACTATCAAAATCCATGCGTCAAAAACTATAAAATAAAACAAGTTTGAAATAAATGTTTTTTTTTATATGGAGGAGGGGCATAAAAATTTTGTTTTTTTTTCTTTTGTCAATTTTACCAATACGGTAAGTTAAAATTAAAATGTTTTGTAAAACAATTTGGTAAAATCGTTTGCGAAAAGTGTTTAGTCCTAGTCCTAGATACGATTTTTTTAATTACGAAACTTTAAACCGGAAACAACTCTACCAAACGCAAATTTTGATTTTTTAATTTTTACAGTAAAATGCTCTAAAGCTTTATATACTTTTTTCATTATTTTAATTACAAAATTTTGTTTTGTTTGTTTTTGTTTTTTTTTTCAGTTATTTTGAATGCATTTAGGCTTTTTGAATTTTTGTTTCTGATTATTTATTTTTTGTTAAAATACTCAATTTTTTTCGTAATTTTTACATAATTAAAATTTATTATTTTTGAAGCTTTTTGTTAATTTTTTGCACGTATTTATTGTTTGTAACTTGGTTCATTTCCATACCAAAAAATAATACCTAATTGGAGGAAAACTCTTATTTAAGCCATCATTTTGTTGAAATTCTTTGATTCAGGTTAATTTTTTGCTTGAAAATGAGCCAAATCGATTGGAAATGGCACAAGTTGTTTCATTTCAGCTTAAGATTAAGAAATTATTGTATAAAATACATTAATTTATAATAAATTCTGTATTAAAATCGAGCAAAATTGAATTAAAAATTGCTCAATTTTTTTTATTTTGGAAGAAAACTCTTATTCAAATCATTATTCTGTTGAAATACTTTGATTCAGGTTGATTTCCGGCTTAAAATTGAGCCAAATCGATCGAAAATATCACAAATTGCTTCATTTAAAATTGGGATTGAAGCAATTATTTGTATAAAATACATTAATTTTGAATAAATTCTGTATTAAAATCGAAATTGAAACATTTCATTAATCTAAATTTTTATTTTTGCAATTTTCACACAAAAAATAACTTCACTTTATTACTTTTAAAGTTTTTTTTGCTAGATTTTCACCAAGAGTAACTGTTATTACTTAATTGTGATTTTAATTATTTTCAAACAGAAAATTTACAAAAGCGCAGAATTATTTACATTTTATTTGATTTTTTGATTTTCTTGTAATTTACATTTACAACGAAAAAAACTGTTAACTGCTTGAGATTGCAGAACCACTTATTAAGTATCTCAATAAACCGCCAATCTAGGATAAGTAGAAAATGTCTTGCCGTAATTGTGAATTGTTAATCACCATTGCATCAACTCTAGGTGCAAAGTCATGTATTTTAACGCCACCGACCGGGAATTCAGTTCAAAACACGAATTCATTTCGTTTAGTTATTATTTTCGAGTAAATGTAAAACACATGACCTGCTTTAGAAAATAAAATGACGTGTTTAGATGCGCGAAAGGATGAAAAAATCGTGTGGATGGCCGTGAGACGATCCTTTATTTCGTCAACAACGATCATAAATTTTTCTAATATTATTTATTCATACCGGTCTGGTTGTCTTTAACTAGTGCATCTTTTGTTTCACCGACACGACCTTGCCGGGGACCTACCCATCTTCTACCATTTCACTAACATATCACGTAATTCAATCACAAAAAAATAGTGCACTGAAACTGAAACTTAATTAAAATAAACAGTTTTCGCGCAATTATTATTTTTCATGATCGTGAAACGGTGTTTTTCTTGTTAAATCACGATAAAATTAATTCAATATAATTGCTCTATTAAGTTTTGTGTTGCTTTAAAGTCAAGGTTCTTGGAAGAAAATTAAAATTTTGACGTTAATTTCCAATCATTTTTGGTTAATTGGCCAATTTTTCAAACTTTTT